AGCCACCCCAAAATTTGCTGTAGCCCCCCCCAAGCCCTCCCTCCCAGCACTGTTGCTGCCTACCTTGAGCGCAGCCCAGCCTAGCCCCTGGCAGGAAGAGCCCTGCACAGCCCTGGCCCCAGCCCACCCTGCCTCATGTAGATCTGGGGGCACATGCTGCCCCACCATGCCCTCCTGAGGTGCACACAGCAGTGGGAGCCCCCACATCCCCCAGATGAGCCACAACTCCATCCCATGCCCCGCCCTGGCTGAGCAGCTCCTACTCCAGCCCCACTCCCTCACCGCAGGGGCCTTGACATATACCCGCCACCCTTTCCCTCCCCCACCCCACACCTTCCACCACAACAGACTTACCAGCTGGATGCAGCTCTCCATGCTGCTGGGCTCTGCTCCTTACCACCTATGCTGCACTGTGGCTCTGCACTTGTATGGGGCATTTATCAGCCATATCAGCCCGATTTTCAGTACAGTCAGTTTTCTTTATATTGGTGCTAATCCAATATCGGACCGATGTATCAACACATGTCTAAAGCAAGTGATGCTTCAAGATGCCTTTAGCTCATGATACTGTTTTGAAATTGTCTTGTAACCTGTTTTGCTTTTCATTTTTTTTACACTTGCAGATGGAGAAGCCATAGGGAAACGGTATCATGGCAACAGATTATGATAATGGACTAGGACTACTTGATAACCTTTATGATGGTAAGACTTTCTATTGAATAGGTTGTTAACTTTATTTTCCAAGGAGGTAAACCATCTGTGTTACGTGCACAGAAGGCAAGGCAGAGATGAACCTTGTGGGCTAACTCAGTATGGTGCATATCTGCCCTGCCTTCTGCCTGTTTTAAAACTTAAACAGCTAATTCCCTCTCTGTGTTACATATTCAGTGAGAGTATGATGGTTAATAGTCAGTTATGTTTCTAAAGGTCAGTTTAATTTAATTGGGACAAAAAAATCATTATGTTTAATGATAATCCTATGGCTGTAGGCTGACTTCATTATTGGCCAAAGTTAAGGTTGTTTTAGATGTCTTAAAACAGTGGTCACCAACCAGTCAATCGCAGAGCCTAGGAAAGTTGATCTGGGCCTGGGGTGCTGAGCACATGCACATGTCCGCCCAGCCACCTCCGGCCAGCAGGTCAGTCTGTGGGGGAGGGAAGAGGCAGGGGCCAGATCAAGGCCCCCACAATGAGGGGGGGAGCAGAGCACAGGCAGGAGCAGGGGCTGAGGTGAGGGGCCCTGGCTGAGCCAGGTGGTGGGAGCCAGGTGGCACGACTCAGGGCTGCCAGGGGCTCCTGTCAATGTATGCACCCCAGTGGAGGCCCAGGGGACATGTGCTCCCTCTATGTGTGTGCGGAGTGAAGGCGGCTACCACTGCACACTGGGCTTTTGTACCCCAAGCCCTGCTGCAGCTGCCCCAGGAGCAGCATGATGCCTTATGCATCCTGCCACCGGGTGGATGGGGCGAAGCTCAGCCCAGCAGCAGAACACAGTGGTGTCAGGTTGCTCCCTGGGCAGCTGTAGTGGGGCTCAGGGTGCAGAGCCCAGCACAGTGGCAGCCGCCTCTGCCCTGTGCACAGATGGGGCATGTGCCACCCCCCAACGGCTGCAGCAGCAGTGAGGGAAAGAGTGGGGCTGGTGCCAGGGCTGGGGATGGGGCAGATGCAGCTCTGTCCCACGGCCTGCCCTGGCTGAGCAGCAAGTGGCTTGTCCAGGGGGTTTGGGGAGGTGGGAATACACAACCCGGGAGGGCTTTGGGGGTGTGTGCCTCCAGATTTACATGTGGAGCAAGGTGGGCCTGGGGCTGGGGCGGTGCCAGGTTCTTCCTGGCAGGGGCTGAACCGGGCTGTGGTCAGG